GACTAAAACAAAATTATGAAGTAGACTGGACATAAAACACACACTTGAGGTGTCATTGTCTCCTATTACCCCGAGATGGGACCATAGCGATCAGAGTGTTGCGGCCAGATTAGACGCTCCTTGTGTTTATTTTTATATTTCGAAAACACCAGTTTTCATGCAGCTCATACCATATTATTTTGTTGTATTATTTCCGCCACACCTTAAATGCCGGTCCCTGAAAATATTGTCTGACATAAACCGGTCCGTGGGGCAAAAAAGGTTGGGGACCCCTGTGCTACAGGACAGACAGAGCGCTTGTCGAGGCAGGGAAGACTCTTGGCGGGGGGCTCTGTGTTTACTACATCAACGATGCCTGATGCTGTGACGCTGTTGTGGTTTGCAAGCACTGCTCACCACTGGTGGAGTTAAGTTATTAAATGCCGGCCATTCTACCTGCCGAGGGAATTCAGTGCCATATTGCCGGTAGCAATATCCCCCTGGCTCAACCAACAGCAGGAGAGAGGCTCTGTATGAACTCCATCAGCACATCAGTAAGCAGCAGACAGCTCATCCTGATGCCTTTCTCATCTTGGCCGGGAATTTCAATCATGCAAACCCCAAGGGCGTGCTTCCACAACTCCATGGACATGTCAACTTTCCCACAAGAGGTACCAATATTCTGGACAATGTCTACATGACAAATAGAGGAGCCTACAAATGCCACCCCTCCCACACCTTGGTGCCTCAGACCACAACACTGTTATGCTAATGTCAGGATACAGGCCGCTGGTTAAAGTCATCAAACCGGAAAAAAAGCAGATACGGGTGTGGCCCGAGGGGTCCACAGAAGCACTCCAAGACTGCTTCTCCACCACAGACTGGAGTGTGTTCAAACAGGGAGCTACAACTAACAGCAATATCATTGACCTCCATGAATATACACAGACCGTCACGTCTTGCATGAGGAAGTGCATAGACGATGTCACGGTCACCAGAAACATCACCACCTAGGCCAATCAGAAGCCATGGCTGACAGGTGAGGTCCGCAAGCTCCTGAGGGCCAGGAACACTGCCTTCAAAGCTGGGGACGTCGTGGGTCTCAGGACTGCCAGGGCCAACCTGTCACAAGGCTTTCGATTGGCCAAGAGACAATACTCCAAGAGAATCGCAGATGAATTCAATGAGAGCAAAGATGCCAGGAACCTGTGGCGTGGGATCCAGACCATCATGGACTATAAGCCCTCTCCGCAGACCTGTGACAGCTCCTACTCTCTACTGCACTGGGATCAGCCACGTGTATCAAAGTGACCGGGATGATGAGACTCTGACCCGAGGAGGCACTGCTGATGGTAATGGAAGCAGAGCCGGCTGCTCGGAGGTCCAAAGCCCTGATGGTGTACTTTGACAGACTTGGGAAGTCGCATTGTGCCTCGGTCTTTTGAACACTGATGAGTGGAGAACTGGAAACCACCTCAGAAAAACAAAGATATTTCACTCGAATCGATTTCCTCACACAGACCAAGGCATTGTTATTTTGATGAAAAACACGATTGCCCCCTGACCTCCATGTCTGCTCGGGCAGCAGCTGGAACAAAGACCGTGAGCTCCGCAGTTCAACGCAGGTTTGAGAGCGTCAGCTCAGTCAGGTCTGAGTACATGCCGGGCTCTATTACCCAAGGAGGCACTGCTGATGATAATGGATGAAAGCCACATCAACCTCCCGCCGCCTCTCTTCGGTTTTTCGTTGAACCTATAGTGGATGTTTATCTTCGTCATAATTTGGGGGATTTGCATTTGTTTACATTTGAACTGAGATTTGAGTATTCAATCAAAAGCAGCCTCGTGCTAGTAGCTCACGAGTTATTTCCAAAGTACACAGCTGCAGGGTGCCCAGTATGCATGTTTATTCAGTCAACACAAAAATACAACACTTCAAAAAAAGGCCCAACCGGCACACTTGCCATCTCTTGGCTTGACAACAGCAGTTCGTCACTTAGAGGCAGCACAAGTAGCAAGGGAAGCACACAACCATGTCATCGACACAATATAGTTCAGAATTTGCTTGTGCGAGTCAAATCATATTAACAACAAATTGAGGTATTCCTCTGCGTCAAACATTTTTAAGAGTCAACCTTATTGTGACTTCCCATGAACTTGCAGAGGAAAACTGACCTTACATGTCTGCACCGGAATTAGCCACGTGTATCAATGTGACCAGGATGATGAGATTCTGACCCAAGGAGGCACTGCTGATGGTAATGGAAGCAGAGCCGGCTGCTCGGAGGTCCAAAGCCCCGATGATGTACTTTGATAGACTTGGGGAGTCGCATTGTGCCTCGACCTTTTGAATACTGATGAGTGGAGAACTGGAGACCACCTCAGAAAAACAAAGATATTTCACTCGATTCGATTTCCTCACACAGAGCAAGGTATCGTTATTTTGATGAAAAACTCGATTGCCCCTGACCTCCATGTCTGCTTGGGCAGCAGCTGGAACAAAGACTACTGTGAGCTCCACAGTTGGACGCATGTTTGAGAGCGTCAGCTCTGTCTGCTACCTCGAGAAGGCGCTGCCCTCCAGGGCAGACCTCACCAGCAGGTTACTCATGGACATGCCGCAAACGCTGGTCAGCTTGTCTGCCGTTGGCTGCAAGGTCACGGAACACGTCTCGAAGCCTATGGCAAGGACAAAAACGAAACGGGAGGCTGAGGGTGACAGAATGATGAGAAACAATGTGTTAGCGTGAACAAATTACATAAAAAAAATTTTAAAAAAAGCAGCCATCTCGTTACCTCTGCGTCCAACGTCCGAGACGCATAATTTTCCCGTGGGGTTCACAGTTCCAAATGTGCGTTTTTGGGACGCAAGGGAATTTCTCAGTCAAAACAAAAAAAACTACGGTAAATCTTTATTTTCCAGCAACGATCGCAGTTTGACCATCGCTGCCATTGTAGTTTTGATCTCGCGTTAAGTAATCTCGCGAGACCAGATTGGTGAGATCGGCCTTCACCTTGCGGGAAGCAGACGATTGCCAAGTTGTGTAACGTTAAAACAAGTGTTGCGAACAAGTGTTGCGAAAGTTTATTGAGATATCACAGAGGAAGCAGCTAAAGTTGGATAGTTTTTTTGCGACGATAAGTTGACTTTGAGAAAGCCTTGCATCATTGGAAGCAGAGTAAAGAGAGGAGAATTTATGAACTCAAAAGACTGAACCACGGGATGAAATAAGAGCCTATTTCTCAGCAAATCTTGTATGCCTGAATTATTCAAATTTTTGCAGCATTTGTTTATAAGAAATAAACCTATTCTCAATGTATATTGTTGTTGTTTGTGTTATTATCATCTGCCATTGAATAAGTAGACCATTTCAGATTTCAAAATTTGGGACTCTCTCAATGCATCATGGGACTCATACTTTTCTGATCAGCGAGTTGGGACTCGCAGGGCTCAAACTGTAAAATTATCACTGTATACATGATGATTAACACGACTCCTGATCTGTTGACAAAGTGACACGGTGTTCGACTGGTTAGCACGTCGGCCTCACGGTGCAGAGGTGCAGGGTTCGGCTCCGGCCCTGGCCTTCCAGCGTGGGGTTTGCATGTTCTCCCCCGTGCCTGCGTGGGTTTTCTCTGGGTACACCGGTTTCCTCCCACATTCCAAAAACATGCATGGCAGGTTAATGGAGCACTCTAAATTATCCCTAGGTGTGTGCCCTGCAATTGGCTGGCAACCAGTTCAGGGTGTCCCCCGCCTACTGCCCGAAGACAGCTGGGATAGGCTCCAGCATGCCCGCTTGGAGGATAAGCGGATGAGAAAATAGATGGGTGGTCTTTTGACGCAGTAGGACAACTATAGTCACACGAGGGAATGGGGATTTTGGGGTGAGTCCGAAATTGACTGTTCTTGGTCTCGTTTTTTTTTTTTTTGTTTTTTTTTTTTTCAAAACAAATGTCACCAAAAATGTAACTTATACGCTCGAGCGATTCATCCGCTTTTTTCCTTCTTTTCCATTCAGCCTTTTTTTGACTGGCATGACTGGAGTGATGTATTTAAAACTAGCGGCACGAGGGAGTTTGCCTTAAAAGGGTCGAGGTGACTTGTTAAATCAACTGTATGCAAATATTTCGGTCTCTGGACTCGAAACAACTTTAGTTACTGTACCTCCCTATTGCTGAAAATGCATTTGTTTGCGAGCAAACTGTTCTGCATTAGCACTCCACTGTAACAGAAACAGCGAGGCTTCAAACATATCTATCTGGGCGCCAACAACGAGTCATGAGGCATTATTTGTTTGTCACAGTTTGTTTAGCCACATGCAAATTCTTGACGCAATATATCCATATTTAGTCCCTTGCGAGGACGGAATATGTTACAAATAGCATAGCTGTCGGTCCTCATGGCAATCAAAGCTATGCTCTGCTTTGATTGCCTCCTCTATCCCAAAACCGAGTGATTTAAAAAAAATTGTCAAATGTGGATGTCACGTGTCCTGTAATTTACTATCATTTGTGTATTTTGACACAAATATACTAAAGGCCTTTTTCTAAGACACTTGGGAAATTGAAAAAAAAGAAAAAAAATAACTGGTTGCCAGCCAATCGCAGGGTACACATTGACCAACAATCATTCGTGCTCACACTCACACCAAGGGACAATTTAGAGAGTTCCATTCACCTGCCGTGCATGTTTTTGGAATGTGGAAGGAAACCGGAGTACTCAGAGAAAACCCACGCAGGCACGGGTTCTCCAAACTCCAAACAGGAAGGTCGATGTCATGTCTGTCTTGATTGTGTTCCAGCTCCAGTTGGAGTGAAGGGCGTTCCCTCCAGCTGGTGCGCCTTTGGCTCGCTACGCCATCAAGCTTGGTGGACTCCGACTTCTGCTTCTCCTTGTCGGATTATTGAACTTGCTTGCTGTTACATTTAAGTATTATTTTCATGGTCGCTCTCACTTATTCTCATATTCTCATTTGAATTTTTTTTTTGTTTTACTATTACTCTTGATTGTTTTTGTGTTATTGGGTTTTTGACGTTTTGTTTTGCGTTTACTTTGTGTTCTATTTAACCTTGCCTTTGCAAGCGCTTTTGGTTTCATGCATTTTTTTTATGCCTGACTCCTTGTGACCAGTGATTTCAGTTTATACTTTGTGCATTATTAAGTTCGGTGTGAACCTAACAGCCGGAATTGAACCCTGCACCTCTACACTGTGAGGCAGACGTGCTAACCAGTCATCCACGGTGGCGCACAGCTTTTAGGCCACAGCCTAGCCAGTAATTTTTTCATTTTAAAGCACGCAAAAAACTAATAATAATTTAAAACATTGAAAAAATGAATGGAATTGACAAATTTCAAAAAGGGATCTATTCTCACACTATCACTCCCTCCATTTTCACAGTCACCTTTAATGGCGTCTTTTCCCATTCGTACAGAAAGGGGGAGTCATTAATGAAGTTAACTTTTATTTTACGATTGCCACACAGAGGCCATAAACCTGTGAAATTACAATTCAGGTTGGGACCAATGATTATCCCATCTTGCTATTTTTAGATCACAACATCAGTGGAGGTTTGTGGTCACACAGAGGCCACAATTTAAATTCTACTAATTTTCTAACACCAGGAAATCCTGGAGGCTGTCTAACATTCAGGCTATTCATTTGAATAGTTGTGCTAGAAAAGTTTTTTTATCTTACTTGATACAGGGAGTCTTGAATTCTGGCCTTCACTTTCGCATGTCCTGTTTTCAGGCCTGACACCAAAATGATATTGCCTTGTTTTCCGACATGCTCCATTTCAGAGATGTATTCAGGAGGTGTGTATGTGGACTTGGAAAACTTCAGAAACCTTTAGAAGGGACAAGAGAGAGCAATGTTAACTTTGTGCCACTTTGGATTTTACCCAAAAGAACATATTGGTAGAATACCAGGTGTAGTTTTGTGGTGCCCAGAGTTTCAACCTAAATTCGTTTCACATCCTGACTCTTATCTCAAAACAACTCTGCTCATTGAATTAAATGTAAACACAGTTAATCCATTCCAGCCCCCAAAAACACTCAAAAAGCATTTTTAACTGACTTTCAAAAGAAGATTTGCACTCCACGATACGGCGCCTTATAAAAACACACAGTGATGTGATACAGTAACATTTGCTCTCCATATAACCTTTAAACATGGAAACTGTGAGTGCACTACATAACCATACCTAACATATTGTTCTCCTTTTTGGGGTCTACTGGCAGTTGGCAAAGCACCCTTATGGCATATTAATTACTGCTATCGACTGATACGGTTCTTCCACTGCAAGGAAACCAACGTGAACTGGTGGTGGCCGGATGTCGAGAAGCTGGCCACCGGCATCTAGTGGAAGAAGACTGAAGGTCACACCCATCTCAAAACTTGATTGTGTATTAAAACAAAAACTGGTCGGGTGATGACACGAATCTCAAAAATTCACACAGTGAATCGGGACACTTGTGTCTCAAGGCGCCACTGTATTTATTTGCCATCTTACTCATAAATAACTATAAATCAAGTGTGTAATTTCATTGCTGCTAAATAATGGAGATAAGGGAAGACTTGCCGTAATAAATCATAAGAATTGGTTTATCCGTTCACATCCACATCTTTCACGATACTCCAGTCAAAGACCAGACCTGCAAGAGTGCTGAATGTGTTTCCTGTAAGGAAAATGAAAAGCACAAGAGTCATGCTCGACTTCTCCTTATACTCAAATAAGTGAGTGAAGATGAAGCAAGTGGGTATGAAACAGGACATGAAGGATGTTGAGCGCACCCATCTGACAGCTGAATTAGCCAGTATGAAACTATTAAGCATTTGATTACAGAATCCTCCACATTCTTCGATACGCTACTTCAAATAATGACTGTAAAGGCCAAAGTCAATGAATCAAATCGTAAAACCTGATACCCTGTAACAGAGGTCACCAGCTGTTTTGAAATTGAGTGCGACTTCTGGGGTATAGCTATGATGCAAAGTGCTATGAGTTTGAGACACCTTTGACACAACAAATTTGATCAAATGAAGCTTTAATTTTATTCATCTATGTGAAGACATGTTCATGATATCGCTCAGCAGCCAAATTATGAACCATGATTTATCAAGGTTATGTGTTGTGTTTATTATTTTACTTTATGTTAACTGTTTTGTTCAATGCTTTGTTATAGCTGCAGCTGTTGTAAAAGCGCTATATAAATCAGGATGTATTGTATTGTAAGGGACAAAACCAATAAATATCAGCAGTAACACTTCATTTGTATACATTTCTGCAAGTGTGTTTATATTTTCACAACAGACCAGCTGGCTACGCATGTGGTCCATCTTGCACGGTGGCACCATGTTGGTGACCCCACTGGCCTCGACCCTTGAACAGAAAATATCAGACTGCAGCCGCAGATCATTTAGTTACATGATAGATTGATTATTTTTAGTTATCATACATTCGCTTATTGTTGATGTTGTTATTAATGCAATATTGATATTGATTCATTATGCTCGCAA